AGTCCCTGGTCTCCCTGCGTGGGGGACTGTTTTTTTTCGCCCCCCCCCCCCCCCCCCCCCCGAAAGGAGATTTCTTTGTGACTCACAAGTATTGTGTGCCTTCATGCAAAATTCAGACGCCGTCATGAGGAGCGTGGCTCAACTCAACCGAATCATGACTTTGAATAGAGACTCCGCATCACGCTCTTCAGATTCTCATCTATCTATCTGTGTTTTGGAAATGGGATGCTGGCCGTGTGGAGAGCCTAACCAGACTAGAAAATACCCGGAGAAAACTTTGAAGGGTACCGAAGCAGCTGCACTGTCCGAAACTCCCATTAATTTAAAAATGATCCAAACTAAGAAAAACTATTTTGACGTATAAACTCTAGAAACAAAGCCACGGTCTTAAGAAACACTAAAGCTGCTGCCAGGGGCTCATTGTGGTTACCATGGTAACCGGTGTCTGTCATTCTCTGAATACCCAATTAATGACAGGCGGACAGAAGCTGACTGAAAAGTAAGCCTCAAACAGTTGCCCTGTGAACACTATAAGTCACATCCTACAGATTCTTGAACTGTGAGCGGCAGAAGAGACTGAAGGTAGTGATGTCTCAATACTGGCTTCTGCATTGGGCCCCATACCAGCCTCAAGTACTCGTCGTACTTTTACTCATAAAAACACCTCAATACCAGTAGCACTTTTATGTTGGGTTATGTCTTTCTTGTCCACTTTGCAAGTACAAAAAAAAAAGTCCATAGTTTAGAGATATTTTAAGATACAGGTAATTTTAAGACAGCAGACTGTTTGTTGTGTTCTTAATAAAAGAAATGTTTCTAAATTCTTTGTGTATTGTTTGAGTACTAACTCATTATCGGCACTTGACAGTGTTTCCCCTAGATCAGCTCCGTTGGCGGGGCGCTCATCGCTTTTTTGTTGTTGACGCGACAGAGTCACGTCTGTGTTGTCCTTTTAGCACTACATTGCTGCCGGTTTTGATCGACGTGGGGGTGGGGGGGTCGCATCTGTGTTAAGCGATACGTTGTTGCCAGTTTTTATCAGTGGGGGTGAGGCACATCTGTGTTTAGCGCTACGCTGCTGCCGGGAATTGTTGTTGCGGGAGGGGGGGTTGTAGCGGAGCAGTACGTCAGTAGCATTTTTTGCTAGCACTTTTATATTGCTCCCCATGCTACATCAATACTGACAGTTGTTGATGGGGAAGGGGGGGCACTTTGAGGTGTTTTCTCCCACCTCTTCGTGTTTAAAGACTAGAGGGCAGCTATAATGATCCATGCTCTGAAAGACTTCTTCAGTCTGAGGACTCAGATCTCAGGCTGAAGAAGTCTTTCGAATGAAAGATGAAATGTTTCCACAATTTATTGTTTTTTTGAACCCATCCAGAGGACCTGACTTAACTTTTTTGGACTAGAGGACAGAGTTTAGAGACGGGAATTAACTGTGTTTGCCTTTTAAGACACAAGATTTATGAAAAGTAATATCTGTAGACTAGGAATGCACGATATATACTGTATACGGTAGAAATGATAGAAATTGAGTCTACGATAGAGATCTGTCTTCTACCGGCTAACCGCAGTAATGCTGTGTCTGAAGTAAAATCAGAGCTGTCAGATTTAATTGTTACTTTTTTTTTTTTAAACTGTGCGCAAGTAGCGTTAAAGTATTTTCTTCGAGAGCTAAGTAGCTAAGCTACAAGCTAACTACAGCCGGCTTGCCGTAGTGTTGGTATTCTGACGCATGCGCAAAACTCTGTTTTCCATCGAAAGTTTTTTTTTTTTTTTTTCCCATCGAAAGTCAAAGTAAGCGTTGGCCCTGCTTGTATAATGGTAGGGGAAACACTGCAGTAACAGCAAGTACCCAAATTGAAGTAACTATACTTGTACGTGATCTGAAAAAAAACTTGTATTAACCGATGGTCTCACAAGTTAATTTTTTATATGTCTGTGACCCTTGTGACTGTTCACTATAGGTTTGAAGAGAATATTCTGAGGTAAAATATAATGCAAGTCTATGAGAAATAAGTTTGATTGTGTGACATTCAAATGTCAGTTCAAGATTGTGTACAAAATCTTTAAAAATTGTAAAAATTAATCAGTGATTGTTAAAACTGCAAAAGAAAATATCAAAATGGCAGTTCAGACATGTGAAGTCCAACTTTCTGTGACTATGCTTGAGCTCTAGAGCAGTTTTACCAAAATCCCATTGTGTCCATTTATTTCTTTGTTGCTTTTTTTGTCCATGTTGTATGACATACCACCACCAAATGTCCTAGCATGTGACTTCTGATTGAGCCTCATGTTTTAATGTATTCTTCACATCTCAGTAATCTAGGTAGAAGAATCCAGCAAAGTTAAGTCAGGTCCTCTGGACAGTTTCATTTTGTTGAAACGTTTCGTCTTTCATCCAAAAGATTTCATCAGTCCAACTGCAACTAAGTCAGTCTTATAAATAGCACCTTCACATAGTGGGTCAACCAGTTTGAAGGCGTTCATATGGTTTCTGTAGTCCGCCCTCTCCCCCGCTGACTCATTTCAACAAAAACAAACCGTCCAGAGGACCTGACTTAACTTTGGTGGTGTATTCTTCACATGTTGTATTTCAAAGCTGATCCACACGAAACGAGACCAGATCTTTTATTGGAAAAGTAATAAGCATGCTCCACTGCATTGGCACCCTATGAAGTAAAAATTAGGAAAAACAGAAAAAAAATTGACGAATTTAAGCAAATAAATGAGCTGCGAAGCTTGTGCAATCAGGCCAACATCAACCTGATCCAACAAAGAGACCAGTGCTTCCATTAAGCCACCGTCTCTTTCACTTTTTTACAATAGGAATGCTTAAAAGGCTCCCAAACGCTATATCTGTACAAGTTATTATCTTGCTGGGTGCTTAACCCAAAATTGGCAGCTCATATTGTCTCTGAAAAGGCTCTAAAGGGCTCTTGGTTCTTTGTGTGGATTGAGGATGTGAAGTGGAGCCTGTTCTAGTATCACACCGTTAGTACACTTGTATTTTGGATTAAGAAGGGAAAAAAAAAAGACTATGGAGGAAAAAAAAAAAAGAAGTGTGACAGACGCTATTACTCTCCTAAAAAGCTACAAAGCAAGTGAGATATAAGAAGGAGACAGATGTTTGGTGCAGAGAATAAGGTTTGTGAGCTTATTTGTGTGCACCCTGCGCTCCACTGGCTCGATGAGAATAAGAAATGAGTGGAAGTCTGAGCAGAAGGCAGAGGTGTTGCTGATGCAGAGGAAGGGGGGTGTCTTTTTAAAAAGCCTGTCCGGGCAGGAGAGGTCATACTGTAAATTAAAGCAGCATTTGGGTGGGGAGCCCGTTGTCATGTCCCATCAGGGGGTCTGGGATTCCTCCCATCGCCCCTGGCAGCACAGCTTTATGACTGGGATGTGAGCTTGAATGACTCCCACTGAGGTGCTTTTAGTTGTAGACAACAAGCGACTCAAATAAAGATGATGCAAAACTAAAAGAACTTTGGCTTCTGATGTCATTAAAACATCGGGGTTGCACAGCCTTTGATACAGCGCCACAGAGCGGATTGTGTTGCACG